CGCACACATGGAAAGATAGGTAAAAGTACAACCATTCAGAATATGTACATGATTTTTACGTGATTTTCTTTATGCAATATACTGAATATATAGAAAATCACGTTTTCCAAAAGCATTGTATTGGAAAAAAAAAACAAACTTATGAGCTTTCGCCCAAATATATACCGAGTCTAACAGCAAAATTTTCGAATTGGGATTTTAAGCTTATTACCATTACATCGAAGAAATGATTAAAGATATCTTACTGGAATTTCCCTAGGTTTTTATAACACAATTGAACTCTACATTGAGCAATAAGAATGTATAATTACTCTGTAAGCTTAACAGAAGAATCTTGATGAAATCGATCATAAACAAAAATGTCCATCATTAATTAATCATAGCTAAGGATCGGAAGCTAATTAATGATGGGCATGTCATTTTCGTTTATGATCGATTTCATCAAGATTATATATATATATATATATATATATATATATATATATATATATATATATTATTTCAGGATCATTTTCCAACTTATTCAAGATGATCTTCGTCCACTCTAGCCTTCTGACTTTCTGTCCTGGACTAACAATGTGCCTCACAAGTTCCATATACGATTTCATTTTCAAGTATTTTTTCAGTGCTCTTTAGACTGTCAAAGTTGAAACTCCTTTCACGACATATGGATTGAGCTGGATCTTTTGTAATTGATCTCTTTAGCTCTAAGTTGAAATGATGGCCACTCTTTCTGTTGTGACCGCGTGATCCAGGTTTTTCCCGCTACCGTTCCCCCCTTTTTTTAAATCTTATTCAGCGTACTCTGGATGGTTCTTCAATGGACTTTGAAGGTGGATGTCAAAGTGTAATGCTGGTAACATGATGGAAGGCCTAAATGATAGTTTTCCTCTCACCATTTCTCATTTGGAAATTCAGTGAGGCTGATATAAAACAAATTTAACAAGTTCTCTTTCAAAGGGTTTTTCAGTGATTCTTACGACAAATGGTGCCAAGATGTCTAAACGCCTGGTCTGAAAATCTGGGAAAAAGAAATTCAATTAGTTTAGTGTTTTTCTTTTTAAATATTAAACATTTTGTGGGACGGACAATTATGCTGCTACACGATTTGGACAATTTTACTAATACACCCGGAAAGTATATATATATATATATATATATATATATATATATATATATATATATATATATATATATGTGTGTGTGTGTGTGTGTGATTATTCTTGTTTTGAAAGGAAATCATACAGTTTTCTTTTATTCGGATGTTGAACAGTAAAGATAGAGAGAGAGAGAGAGAGAGAGAGAGAGAGAGAGAGAGTGAGAGAGAGAGAAAGAGAAATCGAACAACGTATAAGGTTTCCTTACTTATTTCCAATCTTCTGGGTCGAACAAAAGAAAACGGTTGCTAATCTGAAATCGTTTAAATGCTACCAAACCTGTGAGTTGCAATCGACTCGTGTTACTGCGCTGAGATGCCTTCCCGATCACTACAATCTTAACGGTGGAGTAATGGATAGCGACACGGATTGAGAAATCGGAGAGCCGAGTTCGAATTCCAGTCGAATCCATTACATTCACTGGTCTACCACAGAATGAAATGGCAACCTACTACGGGAAATAAAATCTGCCTCGTCAGTCATGTATCGAAATATAAATGATCGCCTAAGCGTGTATTTGGCATGGCACATAACTGACTGACTGACGCTCTAATACCTTTGGAAAATGTATGAATCCTCTTCTCCTCCCAGCTATGGGCAAATCAATGGACAGACCTGGTTCTATAACCTTGGATGGCAACTGATCTACCACAGAAATAAATGGCAACCTACTACGTGAAAAAAACAACAAAAAAAAAACTGCCTCATCAGTAATGTATCGAAATTATTGTTAAATATAACAGACAACGAATGTCTATTATGTTTGATCAGGAGCCGTTTTAAGCTTCGATTGTGGTTTTTATTTCGGGAGAAAATAAAGCCCAAAACTGTCCAAAATTTGCTGTTCCTCGATCTAAACTTTCGGCTCACATAAACCACCATCAAAGTGGTTATATAGACATCTAACCATACATCTAACAATACACTAAATGAAATGGACAAAATTCGACAATTCTTTTAAGACATTTTTTATGTTTATACGTTCTTTTGATAGATACAGATATTTAAGTAAATGTCCTGTTTATTAAGTATTAACACCATTTACCGGCCTGAATGTCCGAGAAATTATCATAGAAAATATGTTTCCTCCGACAGGAATCGAACCTGTATCCTATACGGAACCGTCACATAGACTGACGTGCTTTTACCGATTGAGTCAGAGCTACAATTCTCCATGATTTTCTCTCGTAGATTCATATCTGCTCGATGCGTATGTAAACAAATGACGTCCACACATTATGAAATGGACAAAGTCCGACAATTATTTTAAGACATTTTTATGTTTATACATTCTTTTTATAGATGCAAATATTTAAGTAAATGATCTGTTTATAATAAAGAGTATTAAACAACATTTACCGGCCTGAATGTCGGAGAAATTTTCATGGTTGACGTCATCTGTTTACATTTGGATACGCATCGAGCAGATATTAATGTATGAGAGAAAATCATGGAGAATTTTAGTTCTAACCGAAACGCTCCTCTGTGGTTCAATCGGTAAAAAGCACATCTGGTTATGTGATGGTTCCGTAAAGCATACAAGTTCGATTCCTGTCGCAGGACGCATATTTTCTATGAAAATTTCTCGGACATTCAAGTCGGTAAATGTTGTTAATACTGTTTATTATAAACAGAGCATTTACTTAAATATTTGCATCTATAAAAAGAACGTATAAACATAAAAATGTCTTAAAATACACTATGTGTGTATGTATATATATATATATATATTGTGGTAGATGTTTTGATATATATTATTTGGATACATGCAGTAAACATGTCTGTGCCTGAATGATCTTTTGTTAATGTATCAGGAGATCAAAATGGGGAATTTTTAAGACGCACGCCAGGTTGCGTTCAGGGGAGAAATAATTGTCGTTCGTGAAATAATACGACTGATGGCGTTGAGAAGTCAATCGAAAGGATCAAAGTTTTCATAGAAAGGAAATGAGATAGAGAAAAATTTGGCTCAGTTGTTGGTTTTTTCTTCTTTTTTTCTTATTTCGAAGATACCAAGTGAGTGAGTGAGTGAGTGAGAGAGAGAAGGAGGGAGAGAGATCGATATTGAGAGAGAGAAAAGAAAGAGTGTAAGCAGAGAAAAGTGAAACTGGACTTATATTAGAGGTGGTGGCTAGTCTTATATCGGAAACTTTGTAAGTTGATTAAATAAAAAAAAGTTGAATTTTGATGTATAAAATGAAAGAAGAAGATGAAGAAGAAGAATGAGAAGAAGAAGAAGAAAAAGAAGAGGGAGAATACGAAAAAGAAGGAGAATAATAATAATAATAAGAAGAAGAAAAAGAAGTAGATGAAGAAGCAGCAGAAGGAGAAGAAAGAGAAGATGAAGGTAACGAAGAAGAAGAAGAGAAGAAGGAGAAGAAGATGAAGAAGAAGAAAGAGAATAATAATAATAATCATAATAATAATAATAATAATAATAAGAAGAAGAAGAAGAAGAAGAAGAAGAAGAAATGCTAAATAAGAGCAAATACAAGTAATGAAGAAAATGAAAAAGAAAGAAAAGAAATGGGCCAAGAAGAAGGAAGAAAGACTACAAGAAGATTGAAGAAAAAGAAACAAGAGAAAACATTTGTGAAATTTTATTAAAGAAAAAAAAAACAAAAAGTAAATGAAAGTATTCAGAAAACAAGAACAATGCTCTGTTAAAAGGTTCCAATCCCGACCAGAACGTTGAAAGTTGGCCAGTGGAGAGCTTTATAGCTTATTATTATGAAGGAGGCGTTGCATACTATGGACCAAACATGTGAACAACGAGGAAGTTTTAGCGAAAATGGAAACTAAAAGGACACTTAACATCAGAAAGAGACAGTTATAAATTACTATATTGAGGAACGATGGATTGGAAAATTGGATACAAACAGAAAAGATTGAAGGCAAGAGTTATAGAGGAAAACAACACTTGACCTACCTTCAAAATATTAAGAAGGATATCATTCTGTCGAACTACATTAAAAGAAAATGAAGAAGAATAAAGAAAGTAAAATAAAATAAAGCCGGGAAAATAATATAAGGGAAAAAGGAGAAAAGTTATCTCTCCTTTTTGTCTTGTTAATCGAATCACGTTCTTTTTTCTGTTTCCTTTTGCTTTATTAAATGATGTAAATAAAAAAAAATGTTCAGCTCAGCTTACTTACTCCTACGTTTGAAACATTTTCCTATATGACTTAGTTCCGTGAAAAATAAACCACGTTAAGTTTCTTTATAGTTTTTACATCACAAATCCCAACACCCACGTAGAAAGTTTTTTTTTCGCTTGATTTTACTTATCAATAGATGTCGTTGAACGCTATAAAATACCAATGCAGGAAATATTGGAAAAAAAAAAGAGTCTTTCATGTTCGACAAGCCAGTAGATACTTTTAATAATTCTTCATGACATGTAGAAAAAGAACGGATATAGATTATTTATTTGGATTTTTTCAACATGCGAGTTAGTGAAACTGGCCATACATGCTTTGATTTGGTTCCTGCTATGAAGAACTGGAAAAGTTTAGACGTTGTGAAGAGTAATGATAATGATGTGACAGGATAAGCGAATGTTATCAAGATTTTTAATTTTTTAAAAGAGAAAAAGCATTGTCAATCATCATTTTATAATTCTGCTTGTTCCGTAGTTAAGCGTGTACGTTACGCACTGACAGTCTCTCCTTAATAATGACCGCAAGGAAAGGCAGAAAAGCCACTGTTTGGTCTTAGAGAAAGAAAGAAAGGAATGAATGAAAGGAATGAAAAGGGGAAGGAAGGTAGGAAAGAATGAAGAAAGAAAGGAAAGAATGAACGAGGAAAGAAAGAACAAAAGAAAGAAAGCAATGAATGAAGAAACTAAGAAAGAAAGGCAGGAAGAAAGAAAGAAACGAAAGAAGGAAAGAGGAAGAAAGAAAGGGAGGAATAAATGATGGAAGAAAGAGAAAAGAAAAGTAAAAAGAAAGAAATGAATGAAAAAAGAAAGGAATGAACGAAGAAAGAAAGATTTAAATAAACAAAGAACAAATGAACGAAAGAATGAAAGAAAAAGGAAAAATGAAGGAAGGAATGAATGGAGAAAGAAAGAAGGCAATGGGTGAAGAAATGAATGAATGTATGAAGAAAGAGAGAAAGAAAAAATAAAGTAAGAAAGAATGGAATGAACAAAGAAAGAAAGAAAAAAGAAAGAAAGGAAAAATAAGGAGGAACGAAGGAAGAAAGAAAGGGAGTAATGAATAATGGAAGGAAGAAATAAATAAAGAAATGAACGAATGTACTAAGAAAGAAAGAAAGAAAGAAAAGAATAAGCGAATAAAGGAAGGAAGGAAAGAAGAAAATTAAAAGCATTATGCCAGTACCTCTTAAATAATTGTCCATTCTGTTTTGATCGCGAGGAAAGGCGGAAAAAGACATATCAGTGGCGCCAGATTAAAGCAAGTACCGAAAATTAATTATCTGAGTAAGTGTAGTATTGATAAAAAAACGATGGAATTACGAAGATGCACTTGACTAACGAAGGAAGCCTTCTAGAAATTAAACACACTAAATATGAGAGACATATAGAAGTTATTGCTTGACAGTTTTCAAACAGATGAAGAATAAACTTGAATCGACAGAAATATGATTCTACTGTCGATTTCTGAGACTATCTAGACGGAACTTGTGAGAAATTAAAAGGTTTTAAAGAAAATAGAAGCCAAATGGACCCTTATACTTAAAATGAAGAAGAGACTGCTGACATTTCTGAGGTGCATTTTGAGGAAACAGGATTTGGAAAATATCACACTCCAATGACATATGGAATGGTAGAGAGAAAATGTGATTAAGTGACCTAACAAGCTTTGGTTATTTGATAACAACAGACGAATTTGGAAGGATAGTAATGAGACAAACATTGCTATGAACTACAAAGAGTGGGAAGTTGTGGATATCCATGATCACTGATCTCTTAAAAATGATCAGCACTTAAAAGAATGAGGCCGTCTTAAAAACTTCGCGCATAGGAAAAAAGAATACATTTCTGACAGTATTCGAACTCACATCTCTGTTTATTGGCCGGAATAATTGCGTTGAAAAGCAACTGTGATTAAGATGAGAGAAAAAAAATCCTATTTTACACAATTTATTACAGACGGTGAAGAGAATATTTCATTGATATTATGATTACCTATGTATTCGTTCAGTGATGTTACGATTTTAGATATCATTTGGGGATTTTGAATTTTTACAAAAAGTCACTTCACCCTAAACAAGACAATAATGCTATTAAAACGCAGCGGATTACTGGGGATGAAAGAGAATGGGAAGGGTTTAGATGTAACCAGAAATCTAATCATTAACAAGAGATAAACCTTTACCCCTGTTCAAAAAACTGGGGAAATGTGTGAACAGGACGATACGTGAAACTACTGGCACCTATTCAGGAAAAAAATCAGTTTATGGCCCTGTTAAAGACTTTGTTTACTAGGGATTAGGGAATTCAACACATTTAAAATGATAATTTCCATCTTACTGATGTTATTTGATAGTTTTTGGAAGATCGTCTAGAATCAAGATGGCTTTCATGGAATATCTCCCTTCTTGGAAATATTAAATTGATAAGCATTCTTTTGGGTTCATGGAAGATTTTGTTTTACAATTCATCATTCATTACAATTCCTAAATTCGTCCGCATGTGGTTTTATAATACAAGTCTGGATGCACAGAATCTGGAGCAATCTGGACGTCGATGGTTTTGTTCAATGTCAAATGCGAACTTTGTATTGAGACACGGTGGAGAAAGGTGCGCCAAGACGATCGGTCGGCTTTAACTCATTTGGTCTGATCTTGCACCAGTCGATCGTTAGTTTTGTTTGAGTCCTTGTACCAATTCTTTGCTCGATGTTTCCCGCTATATAGCAACACTTCATACAACATGCGTCCAGGATTATAACGTGACTCTCTGTGCATGACGAAGCCAGTCCGTCTAAGTTTTGCTTTATTTGATACGTGAATATTCACATAAGGAGGACGAGATATGAGAACTTATTATTTAATGATTTAATAACGCTGGATATCATTTTTGGCAAATTGTATCGTACATATCATCTCCTGGCCATGTTGAGATATTTGCATTACTAATATGTGTATTGAATAAAGAATTTACGCATTTTAGAACATTGACAATTGACACTGAAGATAAACACAGCACAGAGATAAACCCTGAGGACCACACTTCGTTGAACTTCGTGAAATGGCGATACAAAAACCATAACTATTTAGTGGACTGCAATCGCAAACAACGGACTATACCAAGTAACAGAAACGACATCAGCTGAGCAGCATTTTCAACTAATATGGATATTGTATATAACTCAAAGAGAAAATAATAGCATAATCAAGATATCGATATTCCACACAATTTCAAATAAAAGATTAGGATGAATTGATAAATTCGCTTTTTTACCAATTTGTTTTGTTGGTTATTTAAGCCGAAACAAATCTTGAACTGTAAGAAGAATTGTTTTTTTTTTCCTACGTGTCAGTGGACATCTAACAATTATTTAAAAATAACAACGATTTTTACAGATACAAGTCCGACTCTCTAACCCTTAGCTAGGCAGAGGAGATGGGTGCCTCTGTTCTCAAGGGTATTTGTACGTAATTGAATGTAACGAATCCGACTGGAATGCAGTTTAATATTGACGGCCAAATGGTTACTGAACTTGAGAAACGTATTTTCTTGAAAAATGGTTTTTATAGCAAACTAGCAGCATGGCCCGGCGTTGCCCACGCTTGATTAAAAAATCGTACGACTCATACAGCAATCGCTATCACTTGACTTAAAATATTTTTGCCTTTCCTTGCCTTTAAAGGAGTGCACTTTGCCGTTCTGGTGTTGCTACACGCCTTACTTCTTGCCTATTTCACACTGCGAATTTTTTCTAAGCTCTATACTAAACATTAAATCTGTTATGAAAAAAGAACTAAACAAAATGAACACAAAACGATCAGCTTTCAAAAAAGACTCGTAACTGGAAAAACCGAATGAAAAAAGAATGTTAACAACAAATACTTTTTCACACCCAACCTAATTCTGCGGAATCAGAATCAACGTTGAGTTTAAGCAAGCGAATGAGCCAATTGGAGTAAAGTGCCATGCAGATTTAAATTTTTCCCACTTGTGACGAATGCAGCTATCGATTTTTTTTTGCATGCTAGCATGCTAGTTAATATTCGTGTCAGTCAGCTGTTGGCTCTCACGCTGGCCAATAGAATCTTCCTGCCTATTTGTGGCAGCCAGCTATAGGCTCTCACTCTGGCCAGTAGAAAATGGCCGCAAACTACATGAAAACTGCCGTAGAAGCATGAAAAAATCGATCATTTCCACTATCGATGGGAGTTAGGAAATACAAAGTCGGTCACTTGGAGCATGTGCATGTAAATTTTGGTGAAAATCCGTCGAAAATTGCGGCTGTGCATTCGTTACACCCCCCACACACATCCTGCCTTTTATAGATAGAGATTTTATAAATTTCAATCTGGAATCGCACTGGATGTTTGGCCATATAAGGAAATGGATAGTGATAGAATTTCTATTATCATCACGCTATAGATATTATTAAATAAAATTGCATCAGTTAAGTTGGAAGCAGATATTTCTTTTTTTAGATAAGCCAGATAATTCATGGAAACGATTTGTTCTATAAAATTTGTTCAGTCGTAAACGGTAGACTGTTAATTCCCTTGCTTAAAAAAAAGCGTTCATTTAAAAAACCGTCACCTTTAATGAAAAGTTTCTTTTATGAGATCTGGATTAGAGAATTTCTTTGGTGAATTCCTGTAGAAATGGTCATCCATTAACACAAGAACTTAAATGAATAGAGAGACACAATAAAACTCCCCCTTTAACTTTCCAGTTTTTCTAATTCACTTTTCAGCACCTGATGACAGACATTATCACAAAGTAAACAACACTTTATCTTCATAAAAACTAGAAACGTTCGTCTGCCTTTTGAATAGGGTCTTTCATGCTGATCGACATAGCTGAAGAAGTAATCAATTACCAGCTTCGCCCGTGAAAATTTCACGGATTTCCTATTTGAACTTTCTGATCAATCATAATTCCTACATTAATGATTGAATAAACACCTTGCAAATTCCACGACGAACGGAAATTCTCCTTGTGCATCGTCAAATATTTAAGCTTAACTACTTGACAAAATATTTAAATAACAAACAGAAATATGAATGCGGGTCATTATTGAAAGATCTAAAGGGTAAAAATGAAAAAATTAAAAACTGATAAGTTTTTTTCCGTTTCACTGAATCAGACATTATATTCATGAGAGCAGTATCGTTTCTTTCTTTCTTTCTTTCTTATTATATAAGTTTTCTTTTTCTCCCTAAGATCAAACAACGTCTCTCGTATATTTTTATTTTTCCACTTTCGTCGCAGTCAAAACGAAATAGTCTATTGTTTATCTAAGATAATGACAAGGCGTAATGCGCGTTCTAATTTACTAACAGAGAAAGAAGAAGAATTATAGTATGATATCTATTTTTCATGGGTTATCACACGAGCCAAATATCTCGTTAGCGATTCCATAAAAATCACGCAATTCACTGACCTACTTCCGATCTAAAAAATACTGTTTCACTAAACGATTCCCTGCAAAACTTAGAAGACAAAGAAACCTCTCAGCAGCTGATCCATCGTAATGGCGAAATAGCCGTTTCCATTCAGGCAATATTTGCTATAGATTGACCGAAGAGAAGAACAAAGAAACCTCTCACCAATTGATCCATCGTAATGGTAATAGTAATGGTGAAAATAGCCGTTTCTATTCAAGCAACATCCGATTGCCCGAACAGCTAATGTGACTGTTGTTTGAAATTTATAAAACCTTTTTCTTGTAGGGAAACGTATGGCGGTAAGTCGAAGAGGACACGTCAGATTGAACATGACCAACCACCGAAGAACCCCAACGGTAGTATAGGCAACGATATAAATGATCACAAGTGTCAGTCGGACTGTCGTAACCAACGGATAGACGAAGCATTGGAGAGCCCGATCCACGAAGCTTACCAGATCTCGCTTCTCTCAATCCCATTTGAGCCATGAGTGATGTGCTTCTGGCCAAGCGTGAAGGCTTCTCCGTCATGCAGAGTTGTCCACTAAATTCAAATACGTGAGAATATACCTCGTCAAACTATATCTTTGACTGACATCTCCGCCACTGCCTTTTGGGGGGAGATAGGGAATAGGAAGAGAGGACGATGATTCCGATGCTCGGATGCCAGCGGGTACTGACAGCAAAAATGGTCCTGATCCAGTTCCATGGAATTTCATGATGTTGTTCCTACTA